AGCTTTACTGTATTCAGATATGTGTATGTTTTCCTAAGCATAGCATTTCATCCTGTGAAAGTAAAGGCATTGACAAAAATCAAACCTATTTAATTTTTTAAATTCTTCACTTCAGAATAAGTCACTTCAAGTAGTAATAAGTATACATTTTATTCTTTTGTAACTTTATGCTTCTTGTAGAAAAAACAGGCAGGTTTGGTGAAGATTTAACTATTTGGCTGTATATATTTCTCCTGTATTTACGAGTGAGCGGTGCACTTCTCCCTCCAATCTTCTAATTATGAGGACAATAAAGTGGTAATATGCATGAAGTTACATATCTGCAGAACAAAAACTGGTTGTTTCGGGGACTGAGGATTTAGTTCAGCAGCACAGCGCCTGCCTGAGAAGCACAAGGTCGTGAGTTCAATTCCTGGTACTGGAAACCACCCCCCCCAAAAAAAAATGATTGTTTCATATTTGTCTACACTAATATATTGATACCATGTGAAAAAATATACCTCCAATTACATGCTGATTAGAACTAAGAAGGTGGAATATCTGAAAATATATGTAATGGATAATCTTTGTCCTAAATTTATTTTTATTGTATTTAGGCAACTGCCTTTATCTAGTTCAGACTTTTTTTTCCACATAAAGGACCACAGAATGATTAAAGTATAGATGACAACCTGATTTTAGAATTCAGCCTCAGCCTACAGAGTTCCATGCCTTAATGACGCACATTTCGGTTTAACCACCCAGCAGACATGACTGTGATAATAGAGAAAATCAATGCTGCTGGGTCAGACATACCTTCTGAAATAGCATAAGGGGAAATGCAATACTGTTCTGAGAAATAAGATAGGGTAGCTCATCTTACAGTGAAGTCTGCCACCCACCAAGCTTTAGAATTGAAAATCAGAAAAACCTGCGTGAACGGAAGACACAGAGACAGATGGAGTCTTCTGTTTGTTTCCGGCTTAGCAAAGCTAAGACAACAAAGGAAATAAAAGCTTGGCATTGATTGTGTCTACAACACTCCACTGAAAGTGAATTACTAGATCCACTGTCACATAACTGGTTCAACCAACTCCCCTCCCCCTAGGTATTTAGTGACTTAATCAGTAGACGTGGTATAATGTTGCCTCTCTTCCTACAATTCTGTGTCTGTAGCTTCTTGCTTATCAATGTATGCAACACATCACAGAGCGTAGAACGATGTGGTGCAGAGATGTATTTCAAACTGGAAAAACAAATGATAAGAGAGAAAAGGAAAGCTGTAAAAATAAATAAAAGAGCAGAGGAAGGTGTTATTAAGATGTGTGGTTCTTTTAAAATATTTTGGGCTGGGGATATAGTTCAGCAGCATAAGTGCCTGCCTGGCAAGTACAAGGTCATGAGTTTGTTTCCAGGTACTGCAATAAATAAATAAATAAATATCTTCAATACATATATCACTTCAATTTCTATTCCCAACCCCATTCAAAAACATATCAAAACCTGAACTGAGACCATAAGGGTAATATCAAAATATTAAGATTAAATGAACATATATCAAATGGAAAAATAAGAAATGTAGGCTAAGGAGGATAGGGATGCGGATATGGGTATGGATTGGTTATAAATGAGAAAAAATGTGCCTAAGAGTACATTGTATTTTCTAGTGCATGAGATGAGAAAGGTTGACAGCACTTACTTTTATGTACTTCCTACTTCACACAGCAAATTGATTCACTCAAACACTTAGGACTAATCATGCACAAATGCGCAGAAGTGAGAGTCTCTTTGTATAACTTTACCTGTAAGTTTTAAAGTGCATACAGGGAAAAAACAAAGTATTCTTTCAACAACACTCTGATGGTGCACTTAAGATTCTGCTGACTCAAACAGGGCTCCTTGAAGAGTGAAACCTTCTTCCCCACAGTTTTGAACTGCTGAAGAAGTGCACACATACACCCTAATTTCTCTCTCTGTGTGTTTGTTTGTGTAAAGGATGCTATTGAGTTTTGAGTGTTGACTTTGTATCCAGCTACACTACTGAATTTGATTATTAAATCTACAAGTCTTTTGGTGGAGTTTTTGGGGTCTTCTATGTAGAGCATCATGTCATCTGCGAATAATGATAATTTCACTTCTTCCTTTCCTATTCTTACTCCTCATTTCTCTCTCTTGTCTAATTGCTGCCACTAATGTTCCCAGCCCTATAGTGAAAGGGAGTGGTGACAGAGGACATCCTTGTCTTGTTCCTGATTTTAAAGTGAAAGCTTTCAGTTTTTTTCCATTTTGTATGATGTGAGCCATCAGTTTATCATAGATGGCTTTGATCAGATTGAGGTAAAGACCATCTTTACCTATTTTTTGCAGAGTTTTTATCATGAATGAGTATTGGACTTTATCAAAAGCCTTTTCTGCATCTATTAAGATGATCATGTGGTTTTTGTCTTTGGCTCTGTTGATGTGGTGTGTTACATTAATTGATTTGCATATATTGAACCATCCCTGCATTCCTGAGATGCATCCCACTTGGTCATGGTGTACCATCTTCTTGAAGATTTGCTACATTCTGTTTGCTAGTTCAGTTTATTTTCAATAATTTTGACAACACTTCACTTAAAGAACTTTAGTTCATGATAGACAAGTCATTTTTAAAGGGATCATCATCACAGGGGTGTTCACTTTAGAAGTCTAGGAAATATAGCAGATTCTGCTTGATCAAATCACCAAAGTGAGGCATTGACAATTGGTGGCCAAGTCATTTGTGTCTTGCCAGCTAGTTTCCAAATCCCCCAGTTTCCTAACCCCTGTTCTACCAGCCACTCACTTACGTCAGTCATCTCTCCAAAGGTTTAGATGATCATGATTGGTGGGCAAGAATAAGTAAAATCAGGAGTAGAGAGCAATGGAAAAGCATACGGTATAATGCAGAAGAACACTGGTGCTTACGATTACCTCCCCAATCCAAATACATAGCATTGTGTTCACTCCTCCCTTCCCATAAGCCCAGATGCCAAGCCCAGGTGACTGCTCAAATGTCACCTGAGATGATAGCCCCAGGCTTTGAGCTCAGAATCCTTACCACTTGTACACAAAATGAATATTTGTTTTTAAAAAATCATTGCAACCAGAAACAATCTACAATAGTAGAAGGTCTATTCCATGTAGGAAACTATGCAAAGTAGCAGATGTCCCAAAAAGTGACACATTAAAATTTGAATCTACACAAATTTTAAAAGAACCACACACTTTTAGGTGACAGACAGCCTTATTTTTACTTTCTCTTGCTCTGCCTTCCTACTCTTCCTGAACAACCAGTCACTGTCTCCTGTGTTCAAAATGATGTTGCTGATGGCTGATGGTGCTGTTGTGCTGTGTGCAACTGTCGCAAAAAGACAGATGCACAACCAGCAGGGCTCTACCTCCAGCGTACGCAGAAAGGCAGCCCTTTGGTTTATACCTCCTCCTGCAATTTTCACAGCCTGTCACCTTGTATGCTACATGACACCTTGATCCCAAACAACAGACCTGCTTTTCACTTTATGATCTGCAGTTGCCTTTTCCTGGCATTTTATTGCCAGGCTGCCTCATTTGAAAACATACCTCTGTGTATCCTTATAACACCTCTCTTCTGTCCTCAGCAATTCGCTCTGCTTTAGTCCCTCAGACAGCTGATAGGAGGCACTCCATTGTCAGAACTGAGGCAACTGATGATGACAGGCAGAGTATGGTTTCCCCCATTCCCTAAATGTCTCTGACCGACTTCCAACAAGACTTAAAAGTCTTAATTGCTAAGGTACTGATAACCAAAGTTAAAACATGAAATGTCCCCATACGTTATCAGGAAAGAATGAACAATAATCTAGTCATGGGTACTATTTACTTAACATCATTTATGAGCTCTCACTGTATATAGCCGTCCTTGAAACTGAAAAACTCCTGCATGAAGTAATTGTTGTTCCCATTTTCCAAACAAAGAAATAAACTCCTGGAAGGGTTAGGTAATTTTTCCTGGGTGATGGCTCTAATAAGTGAAAGGATGAGATTTGGACCCAGATCTGTCTCAACACAAAGCCCAAGGTTGCTGAGTTTTTAGAGCGTATCAGGATAGCCTTGGTCAGTCATTCACACCTAGCTCAGGAGCTGAAGTGCTCAATAAAAATGTGATGAATCACTGAATGGGCACCTTGCTGTGAATTAGTTTACTAGACTGGCTTCCAGTTACCTGGCAAGTATTCTGAACAAGCAAGACCCTGGGCAAGTGAGCTGCTTTAGCAGGAAGGAAAGGTATAGTCCAAAGGACAGGACTCAGCACCAGGAGGCCCAGGTGAGTCACAGATCAAGGAAGCCTGGAATCTTTTAACCAGAGGAAATACAGCCTCTCTAACAAATCGTGCTGGGAAAACTGGCTATCCAAATGCCGAAGGCTGAACTTAAACCCATAGCCCTCACTAGGCACTAAACTAAAATAATGGATTAAATATCTAAATGTTAGGACGAACACTGAGTCTTCTGGAATACAAAAAAGGTCAAACTTTTGAGGACATAGGTATAGGCAGAGACAGTTGCCTAAGAATTACTACCAAGAATCACTGCAAATGGAATGACATAAAATTAAAACGCTTCTGCACAGCAAACAACAAACAGAGTAAAGAGACAACCTACAGAATGAGAAAAAAATTTTGTCACTACTCCTCAGACAAAGGACTAATAACTAGAACATATAAAGAACTAGAAAAAAAGTAGCCCTTCCCTCATATTTAAAGACCCAATTGAAAAAAGGGCATGTGAAGTGAGTAGACACTTCTCAAATGAAGAAATACAAATAGCCAAGAAATACATGAAAAAAATTCAACATTGCTGGCCATTTGAGAAATGCAAACTAAAGCATCACTGAGATTCCACCTCACTCCAGAAAGAATGGCTACCACCAAGAAATCAACAAATAACAAATGCTGGTGAGGCTGTGGGGAGAAAGGAACCCTTCTCCAGTGCTGGTGGGAATGTAAACTGATAGAACCACTATGGAAACGCCTCAGAAACCTAAAAGTAGAAATTCCATTGACCCAGCTATTCCCAAGAGAGGTAAAGACATCATAATACATGATGTTTGCATATTCATATTTATAGCAGCACAATTCATAACAGCTAAGTCTTGGAAACAGCCTAGATATCCATCAACAGATGAATGGATAAAAAAGTGGTATTTAACACAATAAAGTACTACTCTGCCGTAAAAAAGGATAAACTTGAATCATTTGTAGGAAAACACATGCACCTTAATAAGAGACCATAATGTTAGGTGAAATAATTAAGACACACAAGCTTAAACATCACATGGTTTCTCCTATATGAAATATATATATATATATATATATATATATATATATATATCAGAATAAAAGACAGATAGTAGGAAAAAAGAGAAAGATAAAATGAATTGTAATCCAGTGCCGATGATGCATCTAACCGTGTACCCTGACTTAGTACATTGTCTTACACGTTTTTCTATGTTCTTTGGCCTATCAGTCTAGTTTTAAATCTGTACATATAATAATTAACTTTATAAGGTCATATAAGATAAATAAATTAATCTGATGCTGGAAAAATGCAAGGGGGACGAAGAGGGGAAGGAACAGAAATGTGATGTAATGTACCAATCCCTACAGTGAATGTGATCATTATGTCCTGCAAACATGCACTAAAAAAAGTAAAAAACAAAAAACAAACAAACAAAAAAACCCTGAGAGGCCTGGAGAGAAGAGAAATATCACACAAATTCTACAATGTTAGAAGCATGGTACATAAGTGAAAAGAAAGAAATGAGTCAGCAAAGATGCAGAAGTACCCAGAACAATTCCAGGCTCGCAGAAAACTGCGGCTTCATCACTTCTTTCCATTTTTAACAGCTTTCATTCAACACTGCACAGCCAGGCAGTCCTGTAGTGAGATTAGAACCCACAGATTTTCTCACTGGGAAACACTGCCTCCTGCGTGCACACTCAAACTTTGAACCCTTAAAAGTACAATTTAACTCACTGAGAGCTGTATCTGTCTCATGAATATGACCCATTATTTCCAGTGTATTTCTGTTCCAGCCCTGAGCTAAACAAAAGATCTGTATTCTTTGGAACACTGTATTTCATCTCCATTATAAACATCTAAGATGCGCTGTAACAATAACAGCACACCTGAGAGTACACTGGGGAGTCCTCCTGTCTGTTCTACTCCTCTGTGAATGAGCTAGAATAGTTCAGGGGAGAGTATCAGGGCACTGACAATGCCTGTGGAGGAAGGGTAGGAGGAAAGGTAGGCATGCAAGGAGAGAGAGAAAAAGGTAGTTTTTAAAAACAAACGAAACCAAGGTGAAGGTGGACTGCAGGGTATGTGAGGAGGGTCGGGAAAGTGAGCTGTGATCTAACTGGACCTGTGCCATTGTTCTGTGAGAGAGCAGTTCAGGGAAAAACAACAGCTAGTGAGTCAGAACTCTGAAAGGAGCTTTTCAAAGAGAGAGTGTAATGAGCCCTGCGAGAAAGCTGCACTGCTGAGACCCCAGTGGGCGGGCCATGTCACCGGGCCAAGGTGCGGAACAATAAACTGTTATGCTATCTCAGAGAGAGAGGAGAAAGTGTTTGGGATGCAAAGGGTGAGAAGAAAACTAGTTCAGAACTTAATGAAAAGCAACCGGCCTTATGGGGAGGGTTGGTCAGAGTATCACCTGTGGGCAACTGGGATGGACCACCATGTCTGTACCCGTGAGTTGGGGACACAAAGAATGTTGTGTTGTTGCTGCTGCTGTTGTTATTTTGAGACAGGATCTCAGTATGTAGTTCAGGCTGGCCTCAAATTTGCATCAGTCTTCCTGCCTCAGCCTCCTGAGTGCTGAGATTACCTAGCTCATGAATACTGTAGTTCTACAGTGAGACCCGATGGACTATTGGACCTGAGAATCTGAATGATCCTCTCAGCTGCTTCTTAATGAGAGAGCCCAGTCTAGCTCTAGGCTTAGCATTAATTGGCTTAACAGGTTTGATCAGAATTGTCAAGTGCAAGGACTAGGGATGCAGGAGGCAGAAACAAGAACTGTGTTGTCTCGCGAGACCTTTGCTGATGTGACTGTTAAACAGGAGAGAAAAATTTGACACTTTTCTCACATTTTTCTTTCACTTTCCTCAATGTAGTAAGGCCTCCATTTTACAAACCAAATAAACATCCCCCCTTTTAGGAACCTGCTGTCCAAGTTCTCGCTCTAGGAACTAAGACACTGTATACTAAGGTATATTTATATACAAGTTTGGCAAAGCAAAATACATCACTTATAAAATATATTTGGCTATTTGTAACAGAATGGAAATAATATGGTTTTAATAGAATGAAATTATTTTTCTTGAATGTAAAATAATTCTGGAGGTATGGGAGTCACAGTCAACAAGGACCCAGGTTTCCTCCCATCTTTCTTTTCTACTACCCAAATTTATGGTTTTTGTCACTAGGTTGCTTCAGGTATAAGAAGGTAGAACTCCAGCCATCACATCTTCATTCCAGTAGAAAATAGGAAAAAGTGGAATTAGGAAATAAAAAGGCAATCTTATCAGCTAAGTAACTATATCCGAAGCAGTCTTTCAAAAGATCCACACAACTTTTTAATCCTATTAGTCAGAACTTAATCTCATCTAGCTGCAAGGGAAGCAGGAATACCAACTTTTAGCTGGGCATCTTGCTATACTAAATTCTGTTCCCATTATTAACTTAAAATATTAAGAACCAAGTCTTTCAATCACACATCTGTAAATACAAGCCACCACACTGATGTAATCAACTCCTGAAAATATAGGGTACATTGACACTTCCTTATAAAGTCTTTGATATGGAGCAGTACTTAGTAAAAGGAAAATGCATTTTAGATCCAGACCATGAGCCCATGGCTTTCAGTAGTTTCAAAAGGAAGTTTAAAATGGACCTGAAGGGCTTTACCTCTCCCATAATCTTGCTGAACATTTCTCCCCAGTGTACCTGTCAGTTTTTTGCTGTGGGTTTCTTTCTATTTTATCAAATTTATTTCTACAACACATAATAAAGTAACAAAAACATGCAAACAAAACCTTGCTATGCAAACTCAACTTTTCAATGGCCCTTGCACCATCTTCTAAACAGATCACAGAACACAATCCTAAATTCTTCTAACATGGAAATGCTAGAATCTGTTGTGCATACAAAAATACTTAAAGATCACAAAGAGTTGTCCCTCATCATGGACTCAGTACTAGGCGCTATCTTCTGTATATGCTATTTAAACATCAGAAGAGTTTGCAAAGTATTAATTAGCATCACTTGCAAAGATTGAGAAATGGAAAAAGAGCACTACGTGTTCAAAGTGGTTTACAAGTGTTCCTATTAGTCGTTTAACCCATCCTACCCCATGTGAGATGGTAAGAGATTTAAGATGCTGTTACTAAGACGCTTTTTCAACCCAGGGTGAAAATCTCCTCTAAATAATATAATAAAACCTACTTGCTCTGTGCTTTCCTGCATTTTGATTCCAATCTGCATCCCTATTATCAACAACTCTTTTCAACTAAAATGTTTCAGTTCCTTTATTAAGAGTTCAAGATTTCTACCTACATTCTCTTCCAGTACATTTAGTGATTCTGTTTTAATATTTAGATCTTTAATCCATTTTGATTTTAGTTTAGCACATGGTGATGGACATGGGTCTAGTTTTAATCTTCAGCATGTGGAAAGCCAGGTTTTCCAGCACCATTTATTAAAGAGGCTACCTTTCTTACAGTGAACATGTTTGGCCCCTTTGTCAAAGGTAAGGTGGCTGAGTGTGTTTGTAGCTGTGTCTGCATCTTCTAATCTGTTCCACTGATCCTTGGGTCTGTTTTTTTTGCACTAAATTGTGGAAACAACCCAAATGCTCATCAGCTGAGGAATGAATAAAAAAGATGGGGTATTTTTATACAATGGAGTACTACTCAGCTATAAAGAAGGATAAACTCGAGGCTTTTTTTAGAGGTAATGAATGCAACCAGAGACCATACTCATAAGTGAAATAAATCAGACTCACATGTGGAAACATCATATTGTCTTCCTAGTGTAAGAACCTGAAAGAGTAAATAAAATCTGAAAGGTACAATAGATATTGTGAAAGGGAAAGAAACTGCTCAAAAGGAAAGAATGACTGGGATGAGGGAAAAGAGAAGGAAGGGAAAAAATTTATATATATATATACACACACATATACACCCACACAATAGCTGAGATGATGGTGCTACTAATTTCTATTGGTTTATTGAAAGGAACAGTTAATGTTTAATTGTTTGATCAATCTTACATACCTATATCTGGTTATCTGAGTAATCAATTTGTAGATAACAATATGTAGTACAATAACCATTGTTAATTTCCTATCACCTTGTTTGAAACTCTGTATCGTTTTTATTTTTTGTGTGTGTTGTTTGTTAATTTAGTTTCGTTCTTTTCTCTTTTAAAAAAAGAGTTACACATCATTTATTAGGATTACTTCAGTCCAGATTTCACTCAGCAGAGGGAAAAAGAGATATTATTAGCTCAAAGTGATCTTTAACCCAAGCTCTTTGTTCTGTTTCTTCAATGACTCATTCCAACACTGCCAAGCCTTTCCAGAATGAAAGAATCCTCAATCTCATTTTGTTAAGTTTCAGCAATTTGGCCATGGTTATATAATTATATGCATGTACTAAAAGTTAAACTTGGTCAAAGTGTGATACCTAATACTTGAGTCTTATTTTTATGACCCAAAGAGTTCCTTTTATTATTTGATGCTTTATAAAACAGTGATATTGTACACTTATAAATTTACAGTAATACTTGGGTTCATGAATGCTTCTTTTTGTTGAACAGTTTGGTTCACTAACAGAAGTGTTTGGCAAAATTTTGCTTCTGTTCATGAACTTGGCATTGGGTGATGAATATGACTGGGCTCATCTTCCCCAGAAAGGTGGAACAACTTGAGTTCGTGAACCGAGGCACCACCGTATTTAAGAAATCAACTTTGAATAGTTGCCCCTGATTTTTCAGAAATTCAGCCTACTTGCTTTGTT